ATTATTTTTCACCTATGTAGAACTATTTCTTTTAGGTTGGTTAGAATGAATAATACAATATATTTCAAACTTTATTAAAGCTACTCATACCTGCTGAATCTCAGCATTATCTTATCCCAGATTTATAGTGGGTTCAATCCAGATTTAGTCCATAAATTTCCAGGAGTCTCTCCTAAATATAGATAAATCTGGATCCAAGCCAGATTTAGTGTCAGTATATCAAACAAGCACATCATCATTCTAAGATATATTAAAATAGCCCTAATAAAGTCTCCATATGTTCTGTTCTTAACCTTCTCAGGCTGTCTTAGAAATCCAAAAAGGCCCAGCCATTTCCATCCTTTGAGACCCTTAGTTGTAGTAATAAAAATAATGATACATGAAAACAAATTAAGCCTTTTCATTGTTCAAAGAAACAATACACTTCAAAGAATGTGATAATTATATTTTACCTATTGAAGAAGGGATATGCTTTTCCTTTGTCCTGAATATATAATAAGAGGTTAATTATGAAAGTAGCATTTCATCTAATCAGAGAGTTATGAGTGCATATTTGTATGCTGTATGTGTGTGTGTGTGTGCTAAATATGAAGGACTATGGTAAAAGTGGTGAAGTAAATAGCTTTTTCAATATCATATGCAAATAATTATTTCAGTCTTGATATTTCATGTGCCTTATGTTGTTATTATTTATTACTGTTTTATAGTTCATGGGTTAACTGCTAAGACTGGTTGCCCTTTTATTTCTTATATTGGAGTGGAAACGTAGTTTGGACATAATGGATTATTGATTGGTCTGAGAACAGCAGAAGCCCCAAGGCCTAGTCATCAATGGTACTTACTCTCCCATTAGAGAATGCATCACTTCATGCAGCCATTTGGGATCCAAATCTGTAGAATATAAGCTTATAATTGTTGATCTTGTAACAGAACAGTTTTTAGGGCAAGGAGCTCTTCATTATTGTGATGGGCTTTCTCCTTCCCCCTCCCATTTGTTCAAATAATAGTTTCTTTGTTTTGGTAGTAAGATAAGCTGGATCAGGATGTTAATGATGTATTTTAATTCATGCCTTATAGTGCTACAGTGTAACCCATAGAATACATTTCTTTGTCTCTATGAGGACAAACATGGCCAGTATACTGAAGCACAAAATATGTACTGAGTGGGTGACAGGGCTATGTTTCTCTATATATCTTGTAAAACTGCGCAAGAATGAACCTTTTGGTAAAACTCCTTTAAAAAGTGTTCACATTTTTGCTATAGTAATCTACATGCTTTCCCTTGTTTTCCATCCTGGGAATCCTCTGTTCACTGCCTATTTCTCACTGGCAGGATCTGTATTTGCTTATTATATCCTTATAGGTGTGTCTCTCCATGAAGGTTATTATCGGTAGTGCTGTTTCAGAAGTGCCTAATTATTTTCTCAGGAATTTTGGAGCCCGTTTTGAATACCGTCATTAGCTCAGGAGAGGGAGGGAGAGAAAACAAATGATGTGGGCAAAGAATTTCAGAGTAAATCTGCAGTGCTAACAGTTGCAAATCTGAAAATAATGCCTTCCAGAACACAAAAAAGAGCAGACATCTCTTTCCCCAGAATAAAACAGACTGCTGTTTTAGCATTTCTTGAACCTAGCAACCTGGAGAGAGGATGAGGCCAAAGTTCCCAGCTCTTGAAAAACAGGCCGCCCATAAGATTTGCAAAACTGCAGCAATTCAAATGAAAATGTAGAGTCAGAAATGAATTGACTCAGCTTACACAGGATCCTGAGATCAGGCAGTTCTGGAGCTGATCCTGAAATGGTGCAGAACATTGGTGTGCAAATGCCTTGATTAACACCTGCAGTAAAAAAAAAAAAAAAAAAAGCTTGGCAACATTTAGCATCTATGGCTCTTGAGGGAGCAAAATCAAGGCAAAATCATGCTAACTTTTTCCTAATGCCTGCATTTACTTTGAAGGACATATCCTGCTGGGATTTCCTGTACTGTAAAGTCAAGGATGTGCTTACTATTTAAAGACAGGCACTCTTCCCCTCCCCCTTTTATCTTCCTACCCTAATGCCCTAAATGCTCTGGTATTACAGAACAGTTGTGTTATCTCTGAATGGAATATTTATAAGAAGCGAATATTCTTTTTTAAACACGTTTCGTTGCACAAATATATTTGCATAATTTCTTATCTGAAGAGTTTTGATTCAAGGTAAACTGCTGTTAAAGAAGTGAAAGCTTATATGACATTATTTTGAAGCACATGAAATGGAATAGATATAATAATTGTTTGTCTAAAATAAAGTATGATTTAGTGTTTATAGCTGTTGTCTCCAACCTGGCAACTTTGAGGTATGTGCGGGAACAACTCCCAAAATACTCAACCATCATGGCTCATCATCTTTTAACATTTTCTATTCTGGCTGGATCTTAGGAGAGTTGGAATTCAACATTTAGATATACTGCCCATCCCTGGCTTAGCACTTGATTCTACATACATGTTATTCTGTTAGCAAACAATAGTATTGCCAGAGAACTGTTGTACGTACCCAAACCAATAGTATGCATTGTAAGCTGGTTATGTATGTAAGGGCAAGATAGGATTTGTCACAGTAGTAATAAATATAGATGATTTATTGCTCATGGCCCTGTAGTTGCATGGAATTGAGCTGTGAAAGGCAAAAGACCATGATACCACACTAATATCAAAAAGAGGGTACATTATTATCGATTTAGTAAAAGTATACTTGCAAACAGCATTCTCTGTTGCCAAATCAAATGAAATCTTTATTATTAGGGCCACACTATACTTGATCTTGGCCAAAAGGCTTAGAAGCAATACCCTTAATTTCTGGTTGAAATCGATGCTTTCTCCTGTGGGTCTGGCTCCACTGGTTCTCAGAGACTGTTTTAAATCAACCTGGCTAACAAAAGCTAATACCAAATTCCAGTCCTTAGGACTCTCTTTGAAAAGCTTCTGTCCATTAGGATTTGAAATGCCAGGAGTCATCTTAAACAACATTTATTTGTTTGTTTGTTTGTTTATTTATCAATCAAATTTGTCGCTGCCCATCTTGCTGTGGAGTGACTCTGGGTGGTTTACACTAAAAATAGAATAAACAGTAATTAAAATAGATAAATATTAATTAATTAAATATGCTAAAAACAAACATATCTGGGATATTGATTTTCAAACCAGTTTAAGCCTAGTATCCAATCCTAGAGTTTATGGATTCTTCTCAGAAGGGCATGTCTTATCTCTCTTCAGTTCTAATTCTGAAATTTTGTTGGACTTTCACCTTGGCCAGATTGGATGCACTACCCTCTGCAGTTCTGTGAGGCAGTATAAAAACATCCCTTTTCAGTCAGTGCTTAGGTCCATGTGGAGATGGCTCTGTGGAACCTTTGTTGCTTTCCCTATAGGGGATCAAGGAAGATTATATCTATCCCATTTTAAAGAACAACCCTGGTAGACAGCATAATGTCTATCTGTCACTGCTTCTATCTGACTAGGACCCTGACATATTTTTCTAGGTTGCCCAATTTTGTGCTACTTCGTTGTATCCGTCGTACCTACAGTTGTGGTTTAGCACAAATGTTCATGATTGCCAATGCTGACTGTATTAGAATTATTATAATAATGTATTTTATGTAATTTTATTGCATTTTATGTCTTTTTTAAAGTTTTATTAATAATAGTTACAGGTTTATATATTTTATTGTTGTGCTCTCTGGCCTAAAAGCCATAATAAATAAGGCCACAGAGCAGAAGGTGTTCCTGGTTACTAATTCACAGAACTGGAGCTCTCTATTCCTGGTCTTGAAAAGTTTTAAATCTACCATGCTGTTCATATAAATTGGTTAATATACACTAGGAATAATCACTTTAGGGAGCAGGTTTTTCATAAAATCCATTCTGTGGCATTTCTTTTCTGAGAAAAGAATTAAAATTAGGTGGGATAGGAGTAGAGATATCTCTTGAAGCAGAAATATGAACTCACCTTTTGAAGTATTGGGTATACAGATGTTACCAAAGGAGCACATGGGTTTGCAAACAGGATGCTTCTTCACCAACAGAGAGAAGGGATTATTTTTTCTTAAAAAGCAGGGTGAAGAAGAAGAAGGTATCTTTCCATTAAACATGACAGCACTTGTAATAAAAAAGTGGAAATGGTTTCTCCTGTATATAAAATAAGTTATATATGCACATATTTGCCATTTATTTGCAGGGCAGAAAGAAAGGCATCCAATTTTGAATAGGTACTACAGAAAATATCAAATGTTTTTCCTCTAACATTTAAAAATCAAGTTTTCTACAGATTTTAATGTAGCAAGATTGTGAACATTCCTAATCCTTATTTGTATTAATAAGGACATTAGCAATCAACTAAGAAAAAATATTAGTAGTATTGTTCATTTAATGGGCTTGTTTAGAAATTTTATTTAACTAAAATAAGATGCATCCTTTTCTGTCTGTCTACATGTTTAAGACAACATTTTTAACAAGGAGAGTCTACTGGGTCCTACAGAAACCCTTTATCTCTAGACAAACAAAATTTTGGCTGTTTTTCATGAAATTATACATGTGTATAAAACCACAGACTTAAAATATGACAGTTACTTCAAGAAAGGGCTTATTAAGTTGAAACTACATGCACACTATTTTTTGGTTTGGAAAGACAAATTTAACTGTTTGTGAGATTGATATTCTTATTTTTAGCACATACCAATTACATGCATACTCTGTATCCCAGTGACTGAAACTACTATTCCATAGGTTTGTTTACATTATCTTACTGACCGTATGAATCATCCTACTGGGCTTTATGAATTATAATATCATCCAAGTCAAATTTAATACACTGTAAATCAAGAGTTTGATTTAGATGAAAAGAAAATCCTAACAGAGGCCTGTCACAAGGGAACTAACGAAGAAGAATGTTGTGCATGTGTGTTTTAAATGAAATGCTTTTGCATTTAGTAATGGTGTGTTGTGCTTTTGTTTTGGTTGCAGGTTTTGTTTGCCATTTGACTCAGAAACATCAATGAATGCTTATATCTGGAATGGTCTCAAGCTGAGAAGCAATTTGAATACAAGAATGAAGAGATAGAGGCTTGGTGAGAGGACATTCCCAATAGAAACTTCAACATAATTTTCCACTCCTGGGCAGGGCTTATGCCTCTTGACTGATGTTGTTGGAATACAGATGGATTGTAGTATAGGTGCAAACATGGAATTGCGAAGAGCCTCCAGTCCTCACAGGATGAATAAGAATGATGTGGATGCAGATAAATCCATGTTGCACAGTTGCTGCATATGTGGCAAGAGTTTTCCCTTCCAGAGCTCACTGTCGCAACACATGAGGAAGCACACAGGGGAGAAGCCCTATAAGTGCCCTTATTGTGATCACAGAGCTTCTCAAAAGGGCAATTTAAAGATCCATATTCGGGGTCACAGAACAGGCACTATTAGCCAGAGGAATGACGTGGAGATGGTAGGAGAGGTACAGCTTAATGAAATGAGAGTCTTTGAAGGCTTTGATGGTTGCACCAGCCCTACCAAAAGCACCTCTGCTTGCAACAAAGTATTGAATGGAACAGTTCCCACTGAGGATAGCAAGATCTTGCTAAGAAGCAGCAGGAAAGAGGCATTTGCTGATGAAGTTAAATTATGTACTGTTCAGTGCAACTTCTGTAAAAACAAATTTGAAGGGAAGAAAGAGTTGGAACAACACATACAGCAAGTCCACAAGCCTTTCAAATGTAGGCTCTGTAATTACATGACCCTAAGACAGGAGACCCTTTTAAACCATATAGAGAGAGACCATATTACAACTCAGATTCCAAACGGGGAAGCTTACACTGAGAACTGCAAGACTGAGTCCAATGCTGGAGAATTTCCTTGTGAAGTCTGTGGACAAGCTTTTAGTCAAACATGGTTCCTCAAAGCTCACATGAAGAAGCATCGAGGGTCATTTGACCATGGATGCCACATTTGTGGCCGGAAATTTAAAGAGCCCTGGTTCCTTAAAAACCACATGAAATCTCATGGCCCAAAAGCTGGGAGTAAAAACAAGCCAAAAAATGATTTAGAGCCCATGGCCACTATCAATGATGTCATTCAAGAAGAGACCATTGTGACTGGATTATCCCTGTATGAAGTTTGTACCAAGTGTGGAAACCTGTTTACAAATATGGAGAGCCTAAAAGCACATAATACTGTACATTGCAGGTCTCAAGGAATTTGCAGTGATCACAGAGGTGAGAAACTAATAGATGGAGATTTGGATTCACCTATAGCAAAACAGTTTTTCTTCCAATATCTGAACTTGAGGCCATCTGTATGGATAGATGGTGTTTCGAGGGGACAGTCAGGTAAAAGAGTAGCCGAGTTGGATCCAGTCAATAGTTACCAAGCTTGGCACTTGGCTACCAAAGGGAAAGTTGCAGAGCCTTCTGAGTATGTTAAGTATTTAGGATGGGATGAAGTTCTGGCAGATGCTGATGTGACATATGATAGGGACAAAAGGGAATATATTCTTGTTAGTCAAGAGAAGCGCAAGCAAGAGCAGGATTCATCCACCTCTTCCAGTAATCCAAAGAAGAAGAACTGCACAGGTGCCCGTTCAGAGAAAAGCAGTAGTGCGCAAGCAGGGGACAACTGCATCCTTGGCCAAGATGACCTAGAGTACAGACCATCCTCACGTCAGAGCAGAAGGGCATCACAGAACAAGTCCACTGAGTGCTTTGAGTGTGGCAAGATCTTCCGCACATATCACCAAATGGTGCTTCATTCCCGAGTGCACAGGAAAGAGCGCAGAAGCTGCAGTGAAGGTGGATCAGCAGTGCAGCATGATAGATATGGTTCCAATAGTGAGGATGGTGATTCTGGATCTGTCAGCGCTCCAAGCACGCCAAGTTCTGCTTCTGCTCAAGAAGATTCAGTTACCTCTGGAATAGGTGAAGAGGGTCCTGAGGATAGTTCTGAGGAAGGAGTACATGAGCCATCCCCATGTAAGTATCTGTAGATAATTGCATTTTAATTCACGAGTCATTATTTTGTTTCTTTCTTGTAAAGTGAATGCATACTGAAGGCTCTCCAGTGTTGATAATGTTTTTTAAAAAAATAAAAACAGCAAAAAGTATGAACAGAATTTAACCAGGTCTTTAAGGTGGTGAAATGGTTTTGCCCATGGAATAGTTCAAGGATACATTATGGGTAGTCTTTGTTTAGCAACCACAATTGGGACCAACAACTCAATTGTTAACTGCAGCGGTCACTGAGTGAAACCAGACTCTGCTTATGATCTTACTTCAGCTTTCCTTTGCTTTACAGACCTGTGAAGATCATAAATGCAAGGATTGGTTGTAAAGTTACCTCTTCATCACCATCGTAACTGCGAATGGTCACTAAATGAGGCAGTTGCTAAACAAGGACTGCCTGTAGTTGTACTTAAATCTATTGAAATGATTGAGTAGTTAGCTGGGTAGTTCTGTTGGATTAAAACTTTACTTATGGTTGACTAAACTGCATCCTATTTGGTGTTCAGTTTGCCTTATGTGAGGGGGATAATAGAGCTCTGAGTCAGTGGAAGAGTCAGTCTGGATTGAGGGACTTGCTGTATCCCTATAGATTCCCTATATTATTTAGGATTGCTATATATGGCTAAAGCAGGTTCTTGCTTCAGAGTGTCTCTTCCAGTGTGGTAAGTAGTACAACATGATGGAGGGGCAAGGGCCGTGTGTAAGGGTTAAATGCCTAATAGGACTAATGTCTGGATTCGACCCAATTCCTTAAAATTTTATTTTTACAGTGGGCAATATGTATTTAGCATCCACTGTACTCAAACAGCAACCTAGGTGAGATTTTTGTTGCTGGAGTATGCCTGCACTGGTGATCCACAAGGAGAGGATTACATCTGCAGACCTGTTTCACCTGGTTGGCCCCCTCCATTCCAAAATCAATGAGTATGAAAGACCTGTATAATTGACCTCACCTTTGTTGTTGGCTAATTCTCAGCCATTTTCCAGGCACTGAATTGCACATGGTATAAAAAGCTCTATTTCTTTGGGTGTATAGTTACTTAAATCAAGGCTTAAATCAAAAACCTGATATCAATATAGTAAACCCTTAATTTAATAGACTTAGGTTTAGTGGATTTCATATTTAATGTACAAAATCTGCTGGATCTAAGTTTTGTCCAGATGTATGGAAATAGCAGACTTAAAATAGTCCAGATAATATTCACTGCTTCACCTCACAATTGATATTCAATGTTATCAATAAAGTAGGGTTTTTTTGGTGTATAAATGTATTTTTGGGCTCTAAAAAATCCTATTTGTCATTAAATGGACATTAAGCTGTATTGGATAACCCTTCCCTCCTTAATTTGTTAAACTGAGTTTACTATAATATGAAAATAGTAAAGTGGCAAAGCATGTCTGAGCATTAAAATGGGAGTTTCTTCTGTTTTGTCTCATTGTAGCTTACATGGATGAGTTAAATCTTAGCAGGATTTTCTATACTTATTTGACATACAAATAACGGAAGGCTCCCTTACAGACTGAGTAGGCATGATGGTAGCAATTTATAGAAGTAGAACTTAAATCTGTTTTGTATTCCTGTAGGAATCATTTATAGCAAAGTCCGGCAAAGAGAGATGTTAGCCGCTTGCTCCCTCAACAGTTCCCCATAATGGCTCTTTGGCTGGAATGCAGGGCAAGCTTGGGTGGGGAACTGTTTAGTGAAAACAGTTAATTCTTTCCTCCTCCTCTCAAGTTCTCTGAAACTGTTACCCTTTTTATAGAAATCAAATACTTTTGTTGAATGCATAGAAGTGAAACCTTGAAGTGAGGTCTATTCATTTACCTGGGTTTAGAATATTTATTTAGGATATTTAGCATAGCATTCCCAATTTGGTGCTTCCAAATGTTCTCGGAGAACCATTCCCAGAATTACCAGCTAACATGGCCAGTAGCATGTTCAATATATCTGGTGGTGTAAAACTTGAGGAAGGTTAAAATACAGTATCACTGAAAAATACTGCATTCTGCAATAATATCCATCATCACAACGTGGTTGGATAGCTTTTGGGTGCCTACATTGCTCTAATCTATGTGATACTCTCCATGATTCAGTAATAGTAATCTTTAACGTTTAAAGATTATTTAAAAATCATCAGTAAAATATATGCACATTCTTTTTCTTCCTTTTTTGATCCTGTGCTTTTAAAAGTTGTATTCAGAAAAACTCCTAGGCTAATTAATCTCTGTGGATTACTGCAGTCCTTAGAGTGTAACTCTGGCTAAATGCAACAAATTATCCATCAACTAGAAGCAGGGTAAATATTTGAAAGAACACTACTGTGATTGCATTTGTGTCATATTTTTCATTGTTTAGTTCTCTTTGTTTATAAGGCTCTTTCAGATTCTCTTAAATTCCAGGGAAAGAGAATTTCTTTCCTACAGCTTGTTTATATGTTTTGTTGTTAGTAGCCCAGTGCCTTTCTGCTGACATTTCTTCCCTCTTGAGAGTTAGTTGATTTGAGTTTTGAGATTTTTATTCTGCAGTGGGAAGCTGAAGAAGTAATCGGCGCAGTACTGAGAGAAGTTTAAAATGCATTTGCTGTTGCTATGCTGAGGAGCTTTTCTCATATTAACTGGTGACACATTTAAGCTGGTCAACCTATCTTATACTCAGTGATGAGCCAAAAGTAATCATAGCTCTCCACTGAGTGTTAAGTACTTAGATCAGATGGTATTTGCAAATGTGTTTATTGTAATCATTTTATAAACTGACATGCACTTTAAATTGAATGTCTGTAATGGCTGAAAGTTTCATATTTCATCATTGTAAATTAACTTACCTTTCTTAATCTTCAACATTTTAACAACATGTTAACATTTTCAAAAAAGCATTTTTCAAATCGTTGGGAAGGTCAGATGTGATATTTATTTCAGTTTCTATCTCATTTCATACCTAGACTTTGGAGCAAGTTTAGCACAATGACATAAAGTATAAATAGATTATTATTAATGAATTAAAATATATTGGCATCAGTTAACATTAAAAACAAATTATCAGGAAATATCGTAACAGAAATAGTTTCCATGTTTTAAGATGGAAGAACAGGTACAAAAAAATATTGTTTGTGATATTTGCCAAATATTGAGAATTACATGTGTGTATAAATGTGTATATATACATGTTCACACACCTACATGCACACATTAATAAAACAGGAAAGACAGTTTGTAAAATATATGAAAAGTTCTGTTTCAGTTTTTTGGTCATGTTTTAACTTTAAACTAAACATTTATTTTAGAGAAATATTTACCTGATGGATAACAATGTTGGCATCAGGCTTTGATCCCCTCCTTTGGGAGAGGATTTCATAAGCTGTCTGCCACACTGGGAAGGCCCCCTCCTTTGGAACCACCCACCTAATTTAATTTGACAGGAGTACCCTGCAGAGAAAGAAATAATAAACTCCAACAATTTGATATTCTCTCTCACCTGGTAGAAAGTCCCCTGAGCCCAGTGGAACTTAGTAGGCAAATGTAAGATTGCAGTGTTAATGATTAAATATACAGTTCCTATCTAGTATTACATTAGGACAAAGTTTCTTCTCTAATGGATTGGATTGTCATCTATAAAATAATGCCTATTATGTAGTAACTCTGGAATTGCGGAAGTCTCACAGGAAGTTTGAGTCTGTCTTTGCCTTTCAGAAGCAAATGACAACAGTCCTATTCTGTGAACTTTGGGGGAAAGCTTATTTCATTTCTGTTTCCTGTTTCTTTCCAAGTTCTTTTTACAATATTTTAACTATTTTAAGTGCCTCAATATTTTGTCAAGGCAGTGTGTAAATCAGCTAAGTAAATAAGTAGCTTTGGTTGAGAACAAACAGAACTGACCAAATTATAGATTATGGAAGTTGGTTTACAAATATATTTTAATATGGCCTTGCTGTTTGTAGAGCTAAATGTGTTTCTGAGGCATGTAAATAATTTTTTAATCATTTGAAGGCTCATAATTTGAAGGAAACATTAGAATAATAGATTGCATCATTATGTAAGAAGCCAGTGGGAGACATTTATATGAATAATTGCTTATCACATTCATTCTTGGTTATGTGAGATAAAAGTCAAGGGTCTCTTATGTTACCCTTCCTATTTGCAGAGTTCATTGATTCAAGTACTGCTAAGTAGGTCAAATGCAGAACTATGTAAAATATACTTGGGAAAAAATAAAACTCAAGATAAAAGTGTATAAGGATAACATGTGGCTGAAAATAATAGTTACAGATAAACTTTAGAAAACAACAAGTGGGATTAATCCATGGTAAATTCAGTAAGGCAATGTTTGAAAAACCCCACATTGAAGAAAAGATTAATTTATTAGTTTCATTACTAAGTTTTTTTCCTGATAGTGTGCCCCCCTCAAAACAAAGGTCAACTTGGATAAATATATTAAGTGTTGATTACTATTCTTCTGCATTGTCCTCAATTATTAGGCATTAACAATTGTCCTAAATTATTAAGCATTAAGGTACAAGCATTTATTACTTTTTTCCTTTTTTTCCCCCCCTGGATTACTTTTGTAATTTTGGGGATGGGTTAGATTATGTCTTGCTATTGTGTTTGTTCAATAAAAATGAATAAAAGGAATAAAATATTTTTATTCATTAAAGAGGTTAACTTTTTATTATAGTCATTGTCTGTAATGACCATGTACACTTTTAAGACAATTGTAATAAAAAAGAATTAAGTATTATAAAAATAAAACAGGACATTAAAACCTCTAAAAAATCTAAAACACACAGACCTAATCTACTAAATTATTAAAACTATTAAATTACAAATTTCTAAAAACAAAAACAATAAAATATTTTAATATTAATAGATTTGTGACTAAAATTTAGATTCTATAGAGAGTTTGCTTTGAGGGACCATGAGATTCTAAACAGGTCAAACTAAACTTATATTGTAATGAATAGAAATGGTGATTGAGC